ATCTTTTCTGGCCATCTGATCTTGAGTATTGAGCGAAGACAGCTGTTAATGAAGGTCTGAAGTTTGTTTGAGATGCTCTTTATGACTGGCCAAGTCTCTGATCCGTATAGTAGCACTGACTTCACATTGGAGTTGAAAATCCGGATCTTATTTTTGATGCTGAGTGCTGTTGACCTCCACACAGATTTGAGAGTAATGAAAGCTTGTCTTGCTTTTCCGATTCTGGCTTTGATGTCCTCGTCAGTTCCGCCTGTAGTTGAGACGATGCTTCCCAGGTAGGTGAAGGAGGTTGTTTCTTTCAGGTTCTTCCCATTTATGCTGGCTGTTGTTGGCTAGGAATCTTCATCACCTCTGTTTTATCTATGTTCGCGTGAAGTCCTATCTTTGATGCTTCTTCTGCCAACTTGTTACTTTTCACTTGCATATCTTCCAGTTTGTGGGAAATCAGACATATATCATCGGCGAAATCCAGATCCTCCAAGTCTTTTGTGTCAGTCCATTTTATGCCTGTTCCCTCGTTGGTTGTTGTCTGTCGCATTATCCAATCAATTGCAATCAGGAAGATCATTGGTGATAGTAGACAGCCTTGCCTCACTCCCGTCCTCACTTCGAAGGCTTCCGTAAGTTTCCCGTTGTGGATTACTTGGCATGCAGCATTGTCGTATAACTGTTGGATGAGGTGTATAATTGTCGATGGGACCCCGTAGTAGCGAAGTAGTTTCCAAATGACCTCTCGATCGACGCTGTCGAAGGCCTTTTCAAAGTCGATGAAGTTGAGATAGAGAGGTGACTGCCATTCCAAGCTTTGTTCAATGATGATCCGTAGAGTGGCGATTTGATCAATACATGATTTGTTTCTCCTGAATCCGGCCTGTTCCGGACGAAGTTTTTCATCTAGGGCTTGTTTGATTCTCTCCAGGATGATGCGACTTAGTATCTTGCTTGGAATGGACAGAAGCATAATTCCACGCCAGTTTTTACATTGACTTAAGTCTCCTTTCTTTGGTAGTTTGAATAAGTATCCGTTCTTCCAATCCTCGGGTACTTTGCCCTCTTTCCACACCTTCTCCAGTAGTGGTGTCATCAAGTCCGCTGTTGTCTCTGGGTCTATTTTCAAAGCTTCTGCTGGGATTCCATCTGGTCCGGTGTTTTCCCAGCTTTTAGCATCTTGATTGCATTCAGGACTTCTGATTTCGTCGGGGGGTCAGTGTTCACTGGTAGTTCTGCTTCCGTTGTTGGTATTGTTGGGCGCGTTGTAGGTGGCGGACGATTTAGAAGTCTTTTGAAGTGTTCACCCAGTGCTTTCTCTGTTCCACCTCTTTGGTGATTGACTTTCCATTGTCGTCCTTTATTGGCTTAATCTGTGTCGAACGTTTGCCCGAAAGGTGCCTAGTTGTTTGGTAGAGTGTGGCGAGGTCTCCTTTGCCTGCAGCTTGTTCTGCTTCGTTTGCCATGGTTTCATAATATTTTCTTTTGTCTTCCCTGGCACTTTCTTCACTCTTTTGTTCAGTGTATTGTAGCTTGCATTCAGCTCCTGTTTTTGTTGCTCGTCAGTGCACTGGATAATCTTTTGTTTCACTGTCCTTCTCTCTGGTATATATTCCTTGCTATAATTTGACGCCTAGATAAATAACAACTGGAGTGGCGTGTGCTACTCATAAGACCTATCAGTAGCATATAAACGCGCATTGATAGGCAGGACACAAAATTGAAACCAACATTTCAAGTCAGTGGCTGGCTGCAGAGTTAGCAGTGTTTATTTCTCAAATCTGGATCAGGTTTGAATGATCCTGAATTTTTGAAGAAATTTCGTTAATTTTTGGTTGATAGTCTATTTGCCATTATATCTTTATTGTTATTATTATAATTTAAGCATATTTAATGAACTGTAATTCCATTGATCTTACTTTACAAATCGATATTATTTCAAAAGCACTAACATTGTTATTGACTACTATTCTAGAATATTCTATGTAAATAAGGATATATATATATATATATATAATTGTAGAGCCAGAAGAGGAGTTGATCGGAAAGCATATTCTTTGCTCAATTATTTTGTGTTTTATAGATGTCTGAATGAATATTTTCGCCATATTGAAATCTGAATTTAGTTTACGTTGTGGTCAGGGAATAATCTTACTGGGCGACTTTTCGTCTGAAGGTTTGACCTTCAGGAAACTGATATCCAATTACAACAGTTTCTAATTTGCTGACCTAGCCGACCTTAACTGTGGCTGAAAATGGTGTTTTTCCTTAATATAAAAGTCCATTACCAAGCCTCTTATCAGTTACCTGGAACAGACTTTCCATGTACAAGGCTAGGAGAAACATATTTTGGCGTAAGAGATACTATCCAGCTGTGGTTGAGTCAAGTAGGCGAATCATGACTCGAAACTCAGACTCATAGACCAAATGCTTAGTAATAAACCATATCACTACTACACAAAGCATACGCTAGCATAGATACCTTGTCTGTCTAGCTCAAAAAACGATATTTATCTGACTTTTATTTGTGACAGATGATTTTCAAGAAACACTATCATGTGCAACGTGGATAGGCCACTTATCCTAGTATATGGTTGAGGCTATTACTACAGCAAGATTAACAAGACCTAACATTAAAGCGTAGCACAACTAGGTGTTATTTGTCAGTTGACAACTTCTTATAAGTTGAATCCCAACTTTCTGAGTGAACTCCTAATATTCTTTGATACTGTCATATAAATTCTCTACAGTGAAAGGAACACTGACGCACTTGAAACCACTTTTGTCTATATTACCGTCATCCTTTTTTTTGATTTTATACCATCGAACTTATAAACCTCTTGATGATGTACTATTTGCCTCAACCTTTATTGTCTACGCAATATACTCCATTAATCAGACCACAGTTTGCCGGCGCAAACATGTTATGCACTAAGCTACGAAACACACACTCACACAAGGTAAGATATGGTGAAATTATCCAGTCGGTAAGACAAAAAGTAGGTGGAGTGAAGTGTGAAAATTGGACTAACTGGCCAAAACCAACCAACCAGCCACCTTCCCAAACGCCAAAGTTGTTTCCAATTACACTACTGAGGAAAATAAAAGACAAACTCAGCGAAGAAAATTTTCTTTATCGACGAAATCATCTTCAGAGGCTGTAGAATCGTATTTATATTTACCGAAAACGGATATTTTATTGTCCCGTTGGGTTCCAAGTGGAACATAGGGCTTCAACAATACATCTCCAATTTCTTCTCTTTTCTGACATACTCTCCAGCTGGCTCCACACGATTGCCTAGACTCTGTCATCTCTTCCGCACACGATCTCCGCCATGTCACCCTCACATTGACCACCCACTCGAAGCACTTCCTGGCGCGCAATGTCATTCGATGGCTTCCTCAACGTATTCCCAATCCATCTCCACTTTCTCCTACATGTTTGTTGAGCGATCGGCTCTTGATTGGTTTGTTCCCAGAGTTTCTTGGCACTTATTCTTTCTGGCCATTTGATCTTCAGTATGGAGCCGGCTGTTTATGAAAGTCTGCAGCCTGTTAGAAATCCTTTTCGTTACACGCCAATTTTCTGACTCGTACAGAAGGACTTGACAAATTCGTATCTTATTCTTTATGACGATAGTAGATTTCCAAATTGGTTTCAGGTTGAACCGAAAACATATTGAAGTCCATTATTGCGTAATGGGAGAGGCATTAACATAATTGCTCTACAGTGGCTTCAAAAGTAAAAATAAAGGTTATAAATTACGTTATACTCAACAGCACGTAGGAAGAAAGGGCTGGAAATTCGGTAGGATTAGAATTTTCATTGAGTAAGAAGAAAGGTAGTTGGGTATCCATTTAACAAGTATGAGAAAATGTACAAAAGTAACATGTGAGAGTGATAATAGTGAATTAATTATTGAAAATCAAGGCAAACTAATTGTTAGGAAGTCAAAAAATTACAGGGAACGACTAATGAAAAGGTTAAGACCATGGTAGAATAAGAGACTGGACAGACTTTTTCTGTACACAAAGTTCGGGGTGGTATTGACAAATCGCCAGCGTCTCCGCTGGTCGTACACAAATGCCGAAACCTAACGTCCTTTGTACAATTTGACCTCACCTTGTAGATAATCTTGAAAGACGAACCTGGGGAGCTGCGTGGCTCGAGTTCATCAAGTGCTCGAGAACTGAACTAGTAGCTGTCTTGCACTGTTCCTTTTGTTAACCATGTTGGGTGAAGTAATTTGAAACTTTTATTTTTACTTTTTACGCCAACTCCGAGTAATTATATCAACTCCCCACCGCCAATTACGCATTAATGGATTACTATACGTTTTTGGTAAATACAAATAAGACTGTACAGCCTCTGAAGATGATTTCGTCGATTAAGAAGATTTTCTGCGCTAAATTATCTTTTATTTTCTTTATCACGCAATGGATATTTTCGTCAGTTATACGGCTATTCACTATATGTTTACCGGATTTTAAAACATTGGTACTATATCTGTACAGATTATTCAAACATCCCTCCCTAAAAATGGGTTTTGATCCAAAAAGATTCATACACACAACTCACAGAAGAGGGGCTGGTCGAGATTCGAGTGATTTGAATTGATTCGCCTCTCTGAGATGAGCCAAACAGGGCATATCTCCAGTGAACTTGACCGTCCCCCCTCCTCCCGCCATACGAGCCGAGCGGCCGTCCAGCATTTAGATAATTCCGACCTGGCTAGCAAGCACTACCGATTGACTGATGTGAGCGGTATACAACTACTTATACCACTCAATCAGTAGTATATAACGTCACACACATACCTTCTGTTCAACATTAACAGCTGAGCTGACAAATACTGTATTAATTACAAACCATTTTTTATTTCAAATGAGAAAATGTCTGGTGTAGATGCATGTACAAACAAACTCGAATAAGAGCTCGTCTGTGTGTAGATTCCTTGAAGAAGACACAAAAAATATACAAACAAAAGAAAAATTATAGACAGGACGACGCCTCAAGATGATCTTCTAGACCATTGTTGAATCCAACCACAAATTTGTGTTATATTTCTTTCTAAATCCTCAGGAGTATTATTGACTAATTCATAGACAATCCCTGTATTATACGATTCACGTGCTTCGTCTAAAACCACCTGAAAAATTATAAAATATAGTAGAAAAAACAAACAAAAGATAATGTTAGGAAACTGACCAACCGGTACGTAGACAGATGCACACAACTGGAACAAACCAATCGGAATTGGCCTACGTAAAGTAACGCCCACTATTTTTATTGATCATGATTATAAACTAACTGATATATGCTTGATGATATTTTGAATTATACACTGTCGTGTAAAATATATTATGGCTAATACTGAAGTACGCTTATTGGCTCACGTCGTTGTGTTCTCGTTTAAGTAAAGCGGGTTGGAGGAAAAAGGTAGCTGTCGGCTTAGACAAGCGGTATTCACGATCAGTGAATTTGTATCCAACTCGGCGTCCCTATTTCAATCTTAACGTATCGCAAAATATAAAAGTGGTGACATCATAACACTGTACGAATCAAAAACGTTATGCATTATTAATATCAATAGGGTATGAGGCGTATGTCACGATGTACTGCTGAAGCCTCAGGTTGGAAAAGAGCTAGTGGGCAGTCAAACCAAAACATGGCATCAGTTAATGAAATCCATAACAGTTAGTTTAAGCCACGTCTGGAGGTATAAACTTCCTGATTGGTTGGGGTCCTTGTCTATCTGTCAGTCTGGATTCAACATAGAACTTGGCACCGAATTGCACCAGTTCGAGTTGCCACGTTCCAAATATCACACAAAGGTAGACAAAAGGATGACTGAAGAGAAACAATAGAGTTTGACAAGTATAACAGTGAAACAGAATGGGTAATGGTAGAAAGGAATATGAAAGATTACAGAGACTGAATACATCTGCGCTGGCCATTGACAACGATTTTGAGCCATGTCACCTATTGTCTTCAGCCATTGATTCCTAGAGTCCCGAGGGCCCCAACCGGAAGTCTGCATCTCCCTCCCTATCTGACTCAGTTTAACTGTCAAGGATTTCATGGATTGATGAGGCCATGTTTTTGTTTGGCCACCACTTACTCTTTTCCAACCTGCACCTATATCAGCTAGTAATGCCCGTCGGGGAGGCGATGGGGTTCTTGAGATGGTAAAAATCAATGACGACTGGAGGAAATTGGTGATATTGGCTTAAATTGGTTTTCAGTGGTTGGCGCAGATGCATTCACTCTTTGTGATGGATCATATCCAATAAATATCGACTGTTCTTCCATATTACTATTCTTTTTACCTCACACTTCTGTCAATTATCTCTCTTTACTCTCTTCTCTTGCTGTGTGCTACATGGAGTGTGACAACTCAAACTGCTGCACATCTGTGCAAAGTTCTAAGTTGAAATCAGTCAATCAGACTTCTGAAACCCCCCAAGAGAATAATGATAATCAATACTGTTAAAAAACCTCAGGTTTCTTCGGGCTTACAAGAGCATTTATAGTTAGGGATGTGGTAAAAAATGAATTGTGATATTGTTGCACCTTTATCTTAATGTGTGACTGCTTAGCAGCGCACACATAACCAAAAAATGTTCACTTCTACTTCAGTTCGAAAAGAGATAACACAGATGAAGACCTTTATAATAGGACAGAAAACTATCTAAATAGCTTCGTTACCAAAATCAACACAAACATTAAATATGATCGTAAATGTATGCCGAAAACATGGACCCCCTCAACAGTTGCTATTCAACATATATCAGATATGTGTCAGAAGATATTAGAAGAATACTGAATAAACAACAACAACAACAACAACAACAACAGAGTTCTCTTCAAAACATCAGACATAATAAAAACCAATAAAAGACCGAACTCCAAAGGATTCGCAATCTGGCTGTAGCTATAAAATAAAGTGCCTAAGAAATGTGATGCAATTTACATAGGACAAACTTCGTGAAAAATCAAAACCAGAAGAAATGAACAGCGTACAGCAGCCTGTATTCGACTGCCGAGAAATGCAGTGGAACTAGAAAGACTTGAAAAATCATCGACATTAGGCCAAGCTTTAGAATATTGAAATCGTATCGAGAAATTTCAGAGAACGCCTGATATCAACAGGGCCTTTATAAATAAATCGAATCCAAACTGTTTGAATAGCAGTAACAGACTAACTAAGACAGAATTCGATTTGGTTCCAACACGAACTTCGTTTCATAAAGCGACAAAATCAACACAAATGTGCTGTTTCTATAGTTTCATACATTTACTGAATGCAACAGTCTGTACATGGGTTGTTATCTTTATTCCATCATGACGACCTGCTTGAACCACTGGGATGCCTGAATTACCACCCGACACGATGAGTCTTACTTTCTCTAATTCTTGTTCTTTTAACTATTTTTTTTATTATAGCTTGATTCCACACAGTATTTTGGTACAACTATGGAATTTTTAGCATGCGATATCGATGCTAGCCCAAATTTAACAGGCCGATCATTGATATCAAGTGTGCATCGGCCGGGGGCAGAACCGTGGACCATATACACAATCGGAGAGCGGCCTACCCGCTGGTGCCACCGAAGCACAAATGTACTTACACACAGATTCAATTGGCTTTCAAACTACCCGTATGCATGGACGAAGGAAAAATATCATAAGAGGTTGGTCTAACAGCATTGCATCACGTGACTGCTTGAACATCCTGAATGAGGAGAGAATTTTGTGCAATTAATTACGCTGAGAATTCAGTACACTATGTGGACATTTTGTCCAGAATAAAACTACCGTTTACTTATTATTTATTATCATTTTATTGTCTTTACTAATTCACCCACCTGACAACGTAAAAATTACCACACTTGAAAGGGCTACTATTAAATTACTGCATGTAATTTAAGATTTTATAAATTTTGGTTTAATAATTCGATGAAGCTATTAGGACTAAACAAGTAGAAACGATATCGTTTTGTATTCTATTCGTCGGGAAATATGGAAACTTTTATAATAATAAAGAACAGGATAATCTAATTTAGAAAATCCCTCCCCCTTCAACAATGGACCCAAATCTTTGAATAATACAGTTGGAAGAAATTGATTCTGTCCTTATGTTCGCCCATAAACTATTCGGCTGTGCGCACAAACCCGCTGCATCCTGAAAGATTGGAAAACCTCTCCACACATCACTTACCTACTGTGTAGCATAGACAACATTCTTGGATAGGACTGCTGAGCAGTTCTTAATCCTAATACTGTCAACATTTGCATTATAATAACAATACTATGTTTAATCACTTTCTTAGCTGCTCATTAATCCATACGGCCACAATATAACATATAATTCATGTACTAGTAATAAGAATAGTAAACTAAGTAGGGAGAAAAAAAACTAACCTGAACGATTTCACAATGAATGAGATCTGCCACTTTCTCTTTTGAGTAGCCACGTGAAGTAAGACGAGGGTAGAGGATTTCATTATCTGTTCTCAACACGAATACGGCATCGAACCAGCGTTCGGGGAAAAAGTCACAAGAATGATAATCAACAATCTATAAGAATAATATACGGAATACGAATAATATATACAAACATACTTGACCACCTGAGGACATTGCGTCTTCTAACTCATCTACAACTCTATCCTCATCCAAAATATGACACTGATTATCTGGATCATATCCATCGTATAATTCTCCTTCTTTGGCAACATCATTAACACTGACATAATTGAATGAAGTACGTTCAGCTACTTCCTTAGAAACAGTGGATTTTCCTGTCCCTGGTGTGCCTGTAATAAGGATGTTTGGTAAAGTAGCAACAGGCATGTTGTTAGTTAGAGCTGAAAAGAATAATATGTTATTGCAGTAAATCCAAACGCGTTCGAAGAAGACTTTCTTGATCAGATAAGCGGTCGATTGTATAGGTTAGCTGACTAATCTTATTTGATGTTGATGAGATAACAGGATCTTGTTCTACGGTTTGATTGATAGCAGAAGAAAGAAGTTCAGCAGACTGTGAGGAATTTAGAATGTTTTGAACAAATTTTTGCAACGCTGAAACAGTTTTCAAAGTTTTGTTTTGTATTTGTAAAGAGGCTTTTTCATTCCAGTTATTTGTGTATGACATGAATTTTACTGGAATATTGTCAAATTTAAAAGCATGTAATCGAAAATAAGTCTTAGAAAATAGATTGGTTAGGTGTCTGAATAGCTATAATTTAAAAAAAAACTGTCAGCCGCATCCAAGTTTTTAAGAAAAATAAAACTTCTAAATCAAGCGGATAAAGTGAGATTATTCACTTATTGTAGAAAGCGTTTATCTTGTATAACAAAGGCTAATACATATATTACAAGTACACTCAGGCAATTGACTGACACTAAGTGGCATGATGAGAGAGGTATTGCCTAACTTAAAAGTCACTGACCTTAAGAGTATTGTTATTATTTGTTGTAGGCTACAGTTCATTTAGCTGAAACCATTTCAAGACCTTCTTTCCTCCCTGAATGGGATATAAACACAGCTCCTCCATCCCTAACTGAGGTTACTAAAGCTGTCACCAATCTGAAACTAGGCAAAGCAGCGGGACCTGATGGAATGACTCCAGAGGTATTTAAGTACGGTGGAGACAGTTTACTGTCTGCATTAACTGAGGTACTAGGCAGCGTTTGGGAATCAGAAGAAGTCCCATCGGGTTGGTGTAAGTCACTGATTATCCCCATATACAAGAAGGGAGACAAGTCTTCCTGTGATAATCACAGAGGGATTAGCTTGACTAATATAGTATCTAAAGTCTTAGGCTCAATAATCATGCGTAGACTAAGTGGTGCTCGGGAAGCACAAACACGAGAGAGCCAGGCAGGCTTTAGACCAGGAAGAGGGTGTATTGATCATATCTTCACCCTCCGACAGATTCTAGAACATAGGAATTCCTACCGGCGTCCAACAGTCATTATATTTCTTGACCTAAAGGCGGCATTCGACTCTGTCGATCGAGAAGTTCTCTGGAGATGCTTGGCTGTAAAGGGAATTCCGAGAAAATATATTGCACTGATTAAGGCACTCTACTCGTACTCATACAGCCAGGTGAGGGCTTACGGCGAGCTGTCATCTGAACTGGTGACGACCAGTGGTGTCCGTCAAGGATGCCCATTATCTCCTTTCCTATTCAACTTCATCATAGATGTGTTAATGGACTTAACCCTAAGTGACTTCAGCGACTCAGGGATTGACTTGCTACCGGGGAATAATCTCGTTGACTTGGAATATGCAGACGATATAGTCCTTCTAGGCGAAGACGCTGACAAAATGCAGAGTCTTCTAAACACCTTGAGCCGCAATCTACGAATGTTTGGCATGCGATTCGCTCCCGCCAAATGCAAGATGATGTTACAGGACTGGACTACATCGACGCCTAGTTTAAAAATAGGAAGTGAAGTGGTAGAGCACGTTGACCGCTTCACTTATTTGGGAAGTACCATCAGCCAACGCCAACGGGTTGATCTCTGACGAAATCTCAGCACGAATACAGGGGGCTCGTTTCGCATTTGCCAGTTTACGCCGACTCTGGCGTAGACGAGATATCCGACTATCGACCAAAGGGCGGGTGTACTGCTCATCAGTCCGCTCCGTCCTCCTTTATGGTTGTGAGACCTGGCCACTGAGAGTGGAAGACATGAAAAGACTAGCTGTCTTTGATCATAGGTGCCTGCGTTCTATTTCCCGTGTAAAGTGGCATAATAAGGTGAGCAACATTGAGGTTAGGCGTCGAGTTCTAGGTAAACAGGGGAAATCAATCGACGAAGTCGTGAAGCTACAAAGACTGAGATGGTTAGGACATGTGTTACGTATGCCAAGCCATCGCCTCCCTCGACGAGCAATGTTAGCGGATATAGGGTCAGGCTGGAAAAAAGCTAGCGGCGGTCAAACAAAAACTTGGCATCAGTCAATGAAATCCACAACAGTTGGTCTTAGCCACGTAGGAAGGTGTAGACTTCCAGGCTGGGGTCCTCGGGACGGTAAAAATCTATGGTTGGAAACAATTGGTGACATGGCTCAAAATCGTTCTCAGTGGCGCAGATGCATCCACTCCCTGTGACTTATGATCTTCAATGAAACTGTTTTGTATTTCTTTATTACTCCTTTGTCTCACACCTCTGCTCACTGTTTCTATTATGCTTTTCTTGTACTTTCTTCTCTTGCTTCGCGTGCTACACGGAGTGTGGCGACTTGAACTTCCGCACATTTGTGCAAAGTTCTATGTCGAAAACAGACAGACAGACAGAACGTCATCAGCTTGATCTTGGTGTTCTCTTGGTAGCACAATGTTCTTATGTTCTAAATTACTACCAACTAAGAACAGATGCCTACTAAGAACTGTGAGACGACTGCCGTTATAAAATCGTCAGCCTGCTAGCATAAGTAATTGAGTTGGAGACACCCAGTTTCTTTTCTCTTAAGATAAGGCTACGAACCCCATATCACAACTCTTAATGTCCGAGGCCTTATGGTAGAATGAAAATCAGGATTAGCCAGTCTGCTCTTCCTATAAATCGCATGGTACAGTGGCGTGTGGGTAGACTTCAGTTTCCCTCTCAAGCTACTCTTGTATGGTCACGTGTCCATAGTGGTAGTTTTACCAAGTGCCGCACACTACGTGAAGATGGCCTATTAGCTTAAGCACTTGGCTTTCAAAAAGTGAGTCCCAGTTCGGAACCCCACTACACTGACGTCAACTCGGGAAGCTAAGTAGTATCAGCCCATACAATAAATGTCATACAGCTTGATAAGTGAGAGTTTTCTCTTGGTAAATGAGTTCAAACGACACAACAGCTATCAGATTTCGTGAGCTGCAACTAAGTATCCTTTTGGTTAATCCTAATCGTAAGGCTGTATCATATCATCCGAGAAGCCAAACTTTACACTTGGATTTCTATGGTTATATTTCCATCTTATGAATATAGCTTCATATTTGTTCATAAAAACGCCAATACGTCCTTCACTTTCTATCCTTTATGTTTATACTTACCGGAGAACTTTTTCACAGTAGTAGTAGTTAGTGATTTAGCAGTAAAAGGTAAAGCCAAGAGACAGTTCGACATGAAGAAAACACCTTGGTTTCAACTATGCAGTGTTATGGACCCTGTTGCAATGTACCTTAGTGAAACATAACCATGAACATCAAAAAGCAAATAATACATGTCTTGGGATAATGCAACACAACCATAAGAAAACAAATCATTGAAAGGCTTGTGAGTCACAGCACACGAATTCGTGTTATAGAAAAGAGACGCCCCACAAGACCGAACGCACAGATGAGATGCCAACTCAGAACAAGGCATGTAAATAACATGTAAATAACAGTGTTTACTAACTATATAAAATCTTGAGGCAACTTAATTTAATAATTTCAGAGATTTTTAAAAATACCAGAATTCTTGATTACGACATATTATGTACACTGTATGGTTACATTGGTCATTTATCTAAATACTACACAATTACTACTTTTACACTGTATAGCTAGATACATCCAAGACATCAGGTGAACAACTCTAGTTAAACACCATACCTGTCGTGGCACAACAGTAACGTTTACTTTGAACTACCGCTGGTAATCGAGATTCAATATCCAATATATTGCGCTCAATTCTTTACTCTAAGGTGACTGTTTCCCATCTTATTTTCTCCAGATATAGAGATATTTAGATTCATGTATAGTTTACCTTTGGGGAAAGAATGCTTGGATCCACTGGAATTATATTTAACATATTAAAAATTATACTATGTTCATTAGTTAATATATAAAGCAAGGAAGAGTAGTGAGTGGAGAGTTTTTTCGTGCCAACATTACTACCATTATGTCTCTACATACACTGGCCATCTCTCAGACTAGAGATTCCTAAGTTTTATAGATGTTTAGAGGTTGACGGTATTGACGTTCGCGAATTGTAGGGAATATACTAAGGCGAGATCTGATACCAACAACTTCTACAATATTCGTTCCACGTAGACTAAAGGCAGAGCGAAAGGCACAGTTGATCGTCCAAATTACCAGGTATATTTCGGGACCAAATCGTAGACCGGGATGATTGCTTAGCTGGCTAGTGTTCGTACACGAACGTGACATGACGGAGTTTGACCGGAAGCCTTCAGCTAAACAAGTCGACTTAAACAGTGAGAGTCAGCATCCAGTGTTTAGTGATGATTGCTGTGGTCAATAATTTTGGGGAATTAGTTACCGCTACAGATGGGTCAGGAACTTGGCAGGATTTGCCTTGTCAAATTCTTGGCTAAGACATTCAAAGATGTCATCCAAACGTTTCCCGAATCTGTAGACCTAATTGCGGCTTTCTTTACAGTGAGAAGCCTCATCTGGTAGCTGAAACCTCTCCGAAGACCATATAACTTGTTAAATAGCTGACTCTGGGTTTGCATTTTCGGGATTCTTCCTGAAATTTCTAAATTCTAGTCAAGTGTAGTGATAGGTGATCCCTTCGCTCCTTTCGCATGGTAGGAGCTATTCCCTGACGAGTCCGCACGTCCTCAAAACTGGGTCCAAAGACGAACGTAAAATGGGAGTGATCAAACCATCCAGTAGTTCATCATCTTCACCCTTGGATGTGGTATATAAAAACAATGTCACTGTCTAAAGGCCTTGCGACTGCTGCAGAAGGTCCAAAATTAAAATAACTAAAGACAGCTGTCCAGTCTTGTAGATGCACGACTGAACTGTTACTTCAAAAAAATTACATCTGTCTTTGACAAACTTAAATCAATGTGTACTCTCCATTAAATACCAGCTCATCCTCATTATGAGCCATGGACACCAGCCACTTTGTCCCTGGGTCCTTCAGTGTTTCTTTTCACTTCCATTGGTCTAAGCTAATCTTCGGGCACTCCCCTTAGGATGTCTCACACGGAGTTGACTGTGAATAGATGGGTCTGGGTGACACTAATAGATAATTGGGGAAAAGGCACTCACCTCCAGATTTCTACTAAAATGTGGAAGTATTCGGTGACGGCCAATCCGACCAAGAACCATTTTCGCTTTCGTTAACTGATTTTTTTCTCGAACATGTAATCGAAAAACATTGCATTCACCTACTAACTCGAAAGGTCCAAGCAAT